AGTAGTAGTAGTACTAGTACTAGTACTAGTACTAGTACTAGTACTACTAAGAGTAGTAGTCCTAGTAATAGTAGTAGTAGTAGTAGTAGTAGTAGTAGTAGTAGTACTAGTAGTACTAGTAGTAGTTAGTAGTTAGTAGTAGTTAGAAGTAGTTAGTAGAAGTGGTAGTAGTAGTAGTAGTAGTAGTAGTAGTAGTACCAGTACCAGTACCAGTACCAGTACCAGTACCAGTACAAGTACTCGCACAAGGAGTAGTAGTAGTGGTGGTGGTAGTGGTAGTAGTAGTAGTAGTAGTAGTAGTAGTAGTACCAGTAGCAGGAGCAGCAGCAGCAGCAGCAGTAGCAGTAGTGGTAGAGGTAGTCGTAGCAGTAGTAGTAGTAGCAGCCGCAGCAGCAGTAGCAATAGTGGTAGAGGTAGTCGTAGCAGTAGTCGTAGCAGTAGTAGTAGTAGCAGCAGCAGTAGCAGTAGCAGTAGTGGTAGAGGTAGTCGTAGCAGTAGTAGTAGCAGCAGTAGCAGCAGTAGCAGCAGCAGCAGCAGCAGCAGCAGCAGTAGCTGTAGCAGCACTCCTAGTAATAATAATGACAAGAAGAACAACCAAATCTAGTGGCAATCAAAGCACTGCTAACTTTGGGGCGCACATGGTATGTCCCGAGGACTCAAAGTACGGATAATGAGAACAGATCGTACTTAATCATACTCGACTCAGGCCCGGGCGAAATCTGCACTGCTGAGCCGTGTCGCTCAGATCATCTCCATGCACATCCGCCGTTTCGTCCAACTCTGTAGGAATCACAGCGTATTCAACCTCAGCGCGCAGGACAGCGTGCCAACACGAAGGTGCAGGCACTTGCAACTTGCCATTTTTATTTCCCGGCCTTCTTATCTCGCATGACAGCCTGTAGCTGGTCTGTACAAAGCCTGCCGCAGCTCATAGGTGCCGGCAGCCAAGCATTCCTCGAATTCCCCGCCTCTCCACGGACTCTGTGAACTCGGGCGGGCCGAAAACTCGGCAGACAATTTCGTCCTGTCCGACGCACACACACAGCCGCTTGTAGTTTAACTCGTGGCATGCTTGAAAGTCGGCGTTTGAAGGGTCCTTGTCTGGGCGAGCCCACTCAGTGCACAGCTGGAGTGCATAACTAGAGTGGAAGCTGCCGTCCACCGCCTGGGGTTCATGGAGACACACTCATACAGACAAGAGCAATCCAATTTTCTGGATGGGCGCAAGAAGTGCTGTCCCACTATGACAACTAGTGAAAACCCACTGCTTCGGCGGCCAGGCTGCCACCATAAACACTGTGGCCAGTTTCGGATCCACTCTGCAGCCAGGCCGAATGAGCACCACTGTGCATGGTGCCTCAGGGTTTAAGGGTTTACACTCTCACAACTCGGACAAGCCAGGCGAGGATCCATAGGTGCATGAGTCGGCGTGACACTGTAAGCTGCCCATGCATGCCNNACTATCCAAAACCGAATATACAGAACTAAGTAAACTCAGCACACACTCCCAAGTGGACACAGGGCTCAACTACTTTGAGGACATATGCCTCAAACCAAGGTTACGCTGCGGTCTTGAGCTGAGTCGCCGTACGACAAACCAGAAAGGCTGCGACACCGCTAGTCATCAGGCAACAAGTGATCAGCCACCAAACCCTGGTTACGTCTCAGCTGCTACTGGAAAGCTAGTGTGTCTTCAGGGTGAAACTTATGACTCCATATACTGCGGGCAAACTTTGTGCGCCATCCCCAGGCCACTCAGTACGGCACGGCCCCCTTCATTCTCACTCTCCTCTAGAGGTCATGTCTCATCGTCGGCCACCGCTTATGCCGTGGTTTTGAGTCTGCGAAAAGGTCCCGGAGGATCTAGCGGTAGGGCAGGAATGTGTCCATTACAACCTGGTCTTCATCAAGCTTTGTTCCATTGCCCTTTGGCCTGGGCTGTATTCTCTTATCCCTTCGGAGACGCGAGCCATTCTGTGTCCAGGTATTCACCTTCACTGCTATCGGCGGGGGACCATAAGCCTTGGACCCTTCTGTATGCCGAG